CCAACCTTTCACCTTCAGCCTATGTATGTCTTTTCCTATCAAATGCGTCTCCTGTAGGCAGCATATTGTTGGGTCTTGTTTTGTGATCCATTCTACTAGCCTGTGTCTCTTAATTGGTGAGTTTAAGCCATTAACATTTAGGGTTATTATTGAGATATGGGTTGTTCTTCCAGCCATATTTGTTTATTTATGTTACTAAACTTGGTTTGTTTTCCTCTTTGATTATTTTCCCCCCTTTAGTGTCCTACCTCCCACTGTTGGTTTTCATTGTTATTTTCCATTTCCTCTTCCTGTAATGTTTTGCCGAGGATGTTTTGAAGAGATGGTTTTCTAGCTGCAAATTCTTTTAACTTTTGTTTATCGTGGAAGGTTTTAATTTCATCTGCCATCCTGAAGCTTAATTTCACTGGATACACAATTCTTGGTTGGAACCCATTTTCTTTCAGTGTTTGAAATATGTTATTCCAGGATCTTCTAGCTTTCAGAGTCTGTGTTGAAAGATCAGCTGTTATCCTGATTGGCTTACCCCTAAATGTAAACTGCTTCCTTTCTCTTGTAGCTTTTAAAATTCTCTCCTCATTCTGTATGTTGGGCATCTTCATTATAATGTGTCTAGGTGTGGATCTCTTATGATTTTGCATATTCGGCGTCCTGTAGGCTTCTAGGATTTGGGATTCTGTCTCATTCTTCAAGTCTGGGAAGTTTTCTCGTATTATTTCATTGAATAGATTGCTCATTCCTTTGGTTTGGAGCTCTATACCTTCCTGTATCCCAATGACTCTTAAGTTTGGTCTCTTTATGTTATCCCATATTTCTTGGATGTTCTGCTCATGGTTTCTTAACAGCCTTGCTGAGCTGTCTATGTTCTTTTCAAGTTGAAATACTTTGTCTTCATTGTCTGATGTTTTATCTTCTAAGTGTTCTACTCTGCTGGTAGTATTCTCAATTGAGTTTTTAAGTTGGTTTATTGCTTCCTGCATTTCTAGGATTTCTGTTTGTTTGTTTTTTATAACCTCTATCTCCCTGTGTAGTTGATCTTTTGCTGCCTGGATTTGTTTGTGTAATTCATTGTCAAAGTGATCTTTCATTGTCTGATTTTGCTGTCTAATGTCTTCCTTGAGACTCCAGATCATCTGAAGCATGTATATCCTGAATTCTTTATCTGACATTCCATCTGCTGCAGCTGTTACCTCTTCTAAAGTTGAGTTGACCTGCATTGCTTGTGGTCCTTTCTTTCCTTGTCTTTTCATATTGCTTACGTTTCTTTCTGCTTGGTGAAACTGTTGTGTTTTTGAAAATTTTCCCCCCTATATATTTATATTGCTCTTGTATAGTTGAAAAGTCTCCCTTGCAGGGTTGGGCAGCAATCTGCCTACCTTGAAGGCGTGGGCGGCGGCTCTGTTCTGCCCCTCCTCCAATTGGTGTGACTTGTCTACCACACCCGCGGTCCGCTGGGCCTGTTCTGGGCGCGGGCGAAGGCTCTGCTCTGCTCATACTCCAATTGGGGTGACATGCCTACCACCCCGGCCGGCCGCTGGGCCTGTTCCACCAGTCGGTCGCAGGTCTGCCTACCTTGCGGGAACGGGCGGCGGCTCTGCTCTGCCCCTACTCCATATGGGGTGACGTGTCTGTCACGCCGGCAGGCCACTGGGCCTGTTCCGCTGGTCGGTCGCAGATCTGCCTACCTTTTGGGCGCGGGTGGTGACTCTGCTCTGCCCCTACTCCAATTGGGGTGTCGTGACTACCACGCCGGCAGGTCGCTATGCCTGTTCCGGGCGCGGGCGGCGGCTCTGCTCTGCCCCTACTCCAATTGGGGTGATGTGTGTACCACGCCGGCAGACCGCTGGGCTTGATCCGCCTGTCTGTCGCAGGTCTGCCTACCTTGCAGGCGCGGGCAGCGGCTCTGCCCTGCCCCTCCTACCATGCCCGTGGACCACTGGTCCTGTTCTGCTGGTCGGTCGCAGGTCTGCCTACCTTGCGGGCGCGGGTGGCTGCTCTGCTCTGTTCCTCCTCCAATTGGGGTCGCGCCGGCGGGCCGCTGGGCCTGTTCCGGGCGCGGGCTGCGGCTCTGCTCTGCCCCTCTTGCTTGATGATAAAGTGAGAGAGACTCGGATGTTTGTGACTCACTTTCTTTACCAGGAGACCAACTGTTTCTGTCGCCGCTGGTATCGATGAAGTTCTCTCCTCCGCCACTTTCTGATGACATCAGATCTTTGCCATGTTGGTATCCCATGCGAATGACAGCATTTCGTTCCCTTTGCTGGGTGACCAAAGCAACAGGTGAGTCCTGACCGGCCCTCACAAGCCCCGTCTCAGTCCTGTTGCCAGTGCCTATGAAGGCTCGGTTGGTATTTACCTCCACAGTATTCAGCAGGACCCGGACTGAGAAGCAGTTTCTGCGGATTCTTTAGCCCTGGGCCAGAGCAGTTCCGGGAGCCAGAATTCGGCCGCTCCATGTTCGGTGTATATTCTGATAGGAGCAGGCTCCAAGAAGCAGTTTCCGCGGGTTAATTAGCAATGAGCCTGAGTAAGTTGTCTGCGAGCCGCAGGCGAATGGCAGCCTGAAATTACCTGTTCTATGGGTGAATGAGCTGCCATCAGTCGAAAACAGGGATGGTGACGTCAGCTCTCCAAGATGGTGGCTGCTGGCTTCCTCTGTGGTCTGACTGGTGTGGAGAACCGAATTGGACCCCTTCCTTCCCCCATCTCAAACCCAGAATTCAGCACATAGTACGGTGATTGCACAGCTGGCAGAAGCCCGCGGAAACTAGTTTTTTTTTTAAACTACTTTTCCTTTAGTGTAGTTCCTCCCTTTGCTAATTTTCACTTTTTTTTTTCATTTTCATTTTCTTCTCATGGAGTATTTTGCTAAGAATGCTGTGTGTAGTGCAGTCTTTCTGTTTGTGAATTCTTTTAAGTTTTGTTTATCATGAAAGGGTTTTATTTTAAATTCAAATCTGACACTTAATTTTGCTGGATATAAAACTTTTCTTTAGCATCCATTTTCTTTCAGAGCTTGTTGTTGTTCCAGAACCTCTTAGGTTTGAAGGTCTGGGTTGAGAAATCAACTGCAATCCTAATTGATTTCCCCCGATAAATAATTTGATACTTTTCTCTTGTAGCCTTGAAAATTCCCCTTTTTCTGTATGCTAGACCTTTTAATTATAATGTACTTTGATGTGGGTCTGCTGTAATTTTCAATATCTGGGGTCCTATAAGCCTCTTGTATTTGAATTTCTATTTCATTCTTCAGGTTTGGGAACATTTGTATTCTATTATCTCTTTTCTTAAACTATTTTGAGTACCATCCTGTGGAAGTTTTAAGATTCTACAGGTAGAGCTATAATTACATTGGTCTAGAGACAAGTTTCCTTGAGGAATTGTAAGTTATTAGTAATTACTAAGGTGAAAAATATTTCAATCAGTTTTTCTAAATGCTTATACATTGTTTTAAGAAAAGGAATAGAGTGTCTTTAACTTTCTGAGTTAAATTATTGTACAGGTCTGAGTAAAGATTCCATGTTGAAAATGGAATTTTCAAATTTCATCAGTTCATTAATGTAAATAGTGCTGTGACAAATTTTTGAGTTCAGATTTTTTTTTTTTTTAGATCTACCTTTCAAATTTTTTAGACAAATACTTGGAATTAGGATATGCTAGTCATATAGTAGCTCTAGTTTTAATTTATGAGGAAACTTCAGAGTCTTTTCTGTAGCATCTGCATCATTTTTTATTTCCTCCCACATTAGAAAATGGTTTCAGATTCTCCACATCCTTTCCAATATTTATCTTTTTGTTGTTGTTAATTTTATTTATTTATTTATTTATTTATTATTTTTTGCTTATTTATTTTTATGTGGTGCTGAGAATGGAACCCAGGGCCTCACATGTGCTAGGCAAGTGCTCTACCACTGAGCCAAAACCCCAGCCCCATTGTTTATTTTCTTTGTTTGTAATAATAGTCATTATAATTGGTATGAAGTGATTTTTTTGGTGTGTGATCTTGGTGGCCATCTTTGTGAGAATTGATGTTAAGCATCTCTTCATATAGTTGTTTGTCATTTGTATATCTTGTTTGGAGATATATATATATATATATATATATATATATATATATATATATATATATAAATCCTTTGTCCATTCCACCAAGAGATAAAAGAATAAAAAAATGTGATATAAACATACATTGAAACCTTATTCATCCTTAAAAAAGAAGAAAACCCCTGATACAACATGAGTGAAACTATAAGGCATTATACACATTGAATTAAACCAGATCAAGAGAACAAACCCTGCATAAGTTCCATTTGCACCAATGACTTGCTGTGATTTCCATTTGTACCCAGTGTTCATGTGTTGAAAAATTAATTTGTAATGCAACAGTGTTGAGAGGTGGAAACTATCACAGGTGATGAGGTCATTAGGGCCCTGCCCTCATGAGTGGATTATGGCCATTATGGCAGGAGTAGCTTAATTGTTACAAGAGTTAGTTTTTGATGTATAAATTTGACCTCTTTCACTCTGTCACTTGCATGTTATCTTGCCCTTCTTCCTTCTGCTATAGAAAACCAAGATGATCCCTGTCATATGTGGGCCACCTGAACTAGCTCTTTTGTAATAATCTTCTTCATAAAACTAACCAGGGCTATAGGAGATCTACCTTAATTCCTTCTGAGGGCAGTTCCCCTGATGACCTAATTAATTTGCACTAATTTCCACCTCTTAATGGTACCACACTGTGGTGAGCCGCTTCTGCTGTTTCTGCAGACTATGGTCGCCATTACAAGATGACGCTGGCTCCGCTGTGGTCTGTGACAAACAACTTCTTATCTGGGAAAGTTGGCACATGATTTTTCACCACCCTGTGAGAAAGCTCCACGCGGCAGCTTTGCATTGGGGCTTGGGATGCTTTATTAAGGCTGGGAGGGGCATCCGAGAGAGAGAAGAAGAAATATCAAGGGCCTGAATAAACTGCTGAAAGAAGATTCCCGAGTTGCGTCTTCCTTGCGGGCAAGGGGTCGCGACAAGTGGTGCCGAGACCCGGGAACCAGAACTTTCAGCAGTCAGGGGTGGTGCACCGGTTAGTCCCAGGTAAGTGGGATCCGCGATCAAAGCGGGGTTAGTCCCAGGTAAGTGGGATCCGCGACCAAAGCGGGACAGCTCCTCTGTAATGAAAGAGAGAGCCTTACATTTTATTGCAGCTGCACTGTGTACTTTCGCTTTCTTTTTTTTGTGCTTCCTTTGTTGTTGTGTCATGGGTGCCGCATCTTCAAGTCCGCTTCTCCTGGCCCTAGATGGCCTGTTATGTTCCAAGGGACTGGAAGTGAAACATAGTACTTTACAGAGATTTTTACAGAAGATAGATATCGCTGCACCGTGGTTTGCATTTTCGGGCAGCCTTACTGTGCCTAGTTGGGATAAATTAGGCAAAGATCTTGACTTTGCTTCTGAGCAGGGCATATTAGAGGGTGGGGTGATACCCCTTTGGAAAATGGTCCGTGGTTGCCTTACAGATGGTAAATGCCAGGAAGCTGTGAGTGAGGGTCAAGCTATTCTTGAGCAACTGCATGAGGAAAAATCTGAAGGATCATGTAGTGGAGTGGCAGAGAGTATTAAAAGTAACAGTAGTGAGAAGGCAAAAGAGCCTGAAGATAAAAATAGGAGAAGGCTCTACCCAGACTTGACCGAATTAAAAACGCCTGAGAACACAAGCGACTCAGAGAGTTCTGAGGACCTTGATATATTGTTACAACAACTACATAAGATAAAAATGAAAAAGAAGAAAAAGGAGACACAGGGCACGCAGGCCTACTGTAAGAAGGGGAAGGGAGTTAACATTGGTCAACAAAACTCTGAGGAGGAGGAGGTAGAATATCTAGAAGAAGATATGGTGCCGATTGCCCCACCTCCGTATGTGGGGGGGAGCCAAGGTTCCGGGAGATCTTTTCATGCACAAGTTTGGAGGACAGTTAATACAGATATGGGACTTGCATACCCTGTATTTCAGGACAATAACAGGGAAAGATATCATGAGCCTTTAGACTTTAAGCTAATTAAAACCTTGGCAGAATCTGTCCGCACTTATGGCATAGATGCCGCTTTCACTCTCACTCAGGTGGAGGGACTTACTAGATTTTGCATGACTCCCTCAGATTGGGCTAGTCTAGTCCGCGCTTGTGTTTCCCCAGGGAAATATTAGGAGTCCAAAGTTGGCTGTTTAATGTTTCTGGCAGTACCCAAGACTCGGAGCGAGATAGGAGACTTAAAATTACTTCACACAATTCACAATTGTTTAATGCTACATTACCCTCCGCAGCAGTCTGTCTCCAATCTCCGTTCCTGTTTCTTTTGGCTAATGACACCTCGTCGGGGATGCTGGATTGTTCTAGTGTTACCTGTCTCTTATCTGAGTGTTGGAATGGATCCTGGCCTATGGCAGTGATTATAAAAATTCCAACTTTTGTCCCGATCCCGGTTACTGCAGATCCAGAGTCATTTCCTATTGTTGAACTGATTAGAGCCCATAGAGATTTTGGAATTACGCCAGCCATAGTGACAGCTGTGGCGGTATCTGCTGCTGCAGCAGTTATAGCTGGAGTAGCCATGGCCAGCCAGGTACAAACTGCTGCCACTATTAATCAGGTTATTCAACAAACATCCACCATACTTGAATCTCAAAGTAGAATTAATCAACACATTTTATCTGGGATTCTAGCTGCTAATCAAAGGATAGATCTGCTTCAAGCTCAAGTTGAGGAATTGTCTGACCTAGTACATTTGGGTTGTATTGATCAACGTGCACATTTATGTATAACCTCTGTCAGATTTTATGATTCCAGAAATGCCTCCCGCATCATCGGGGAATATTTATCCGGAACCTGGTCCATGGAAGCAGAAAACTTGATCCAGTCTCAACTAACTCAGATTGCTGTCTTGAATAGTACCCGTGTTGAACCAGTGACTTTGGGTCAATTCACCGATTGGATATCTTCTGCTTTTTCCTTCTTCAAAGAGTGGGTGGGAGTAGGCATTTTTGGTGCAATGTGTTGCTTCGGTGTTGTACTTTGTTTGTGGCTTCTCTGTCGCCTTAAAACTCGCCATGCACAAGAAAAGGCTATGATCATACAAGCTCTTGCAGCTTTAGAAAATGGCAACTCGCCTCAAGTCTGGCTTGCGCATCTTAAGCAGTAAACCTTTGTCATGGTCGTTACACCCCAAGTTATTATAACATTGCACTGGGATCGACATGACTTTCCTTGTTATTCTCTTAGTGTTGGAAAGCCCTTGCACTCTGCCGGTCTTACTGCCATTGCACGCAGATGGGTTTCCACACTAGTACTTTTCTATCGCCTTGAAGTCTGTGCCTTTCTTTCAGGGTGCTGTCAACTTGTTTGTCATTATAAACAGCCACAGTTCAGCCTCAGCTATCCCCCTTCGTCCACCATCGTCACGATACAGGATGCGAGGCAAGGCACTGCACTTGAGTGATCCTTGACGTGGACCTCAAGGAGAGCATGTCCTATTGCATGCGGGTTAGACGCGTCCACGCCCCGCCCCACGAAAAAAGGCGTCGGCTGATATGGCTTCAGATCTGGGGAAGGCGCCTCCTTAGGACTAAGTCATACTATGCAGCCACTTCTGCACAGTGGGATAGGACCTCTACTCTCGCCTGTATTGTTTTAAGAAAACAGAAAAGGGGGAACTGTGGTGAGCCGCTTCTGCTGTTTCTGCAGACTATGGTCGCCATTACAAGATGACGCTGGCTCCGCTGTGGTCTGTGACAAACAACTTCTTATCTGGGAAAGTTGGCACATGATTTTTCACCACCCTGTGAGAAAGCTCCACGCGGCAGCTTTGCATTGGGGCTTGGGATGCTTTATTAAGGCTGGGAGGGGCATCCGAGAGAGAGAAGAAGAAATATCAAGGGCCTGAATAAACTGCTGAAAGAAGATTCCCGAGTTGCGTCTTCCTTGCGGGCAAGGGGTCGCGACACCACACCACTGTGGGGTATCCACACAGGAAAACATGTTTCAATACATGAATCTTTGGGAACAAAACACATTTGAATTATAGCACCATATTAAGGAGACAACTGACTCCTAGGGGCATGTGCATTTTTATCTCCTAATCTAGAACACACTATTTAGTGGGTATGAAGTATGGACCAAGAGATTGTATTTGAAATTACACTACTATGCTTCTTCTGTCCTCTCTGACTGAACCAGATGCTGATGGTAGTTAAAACACATATTTAAGAACAAAATGAGAGCACCATAAATCTAGGATTAAACCAGGTTTCTAAAGTGCATATAAGCTTTGTATATAAAAACATTTTGACTCTATGGCCATCATCTAAATCTCTAGCAAAATATTATACCAATGTGCTTGTGAATATATCACTATAACTTTTATATTTCATACTTATTTATAAGATGAGCTTTGTGTTCATTGCACCTAGAAAAGCTCATTGTAACTAGAAAAGCTCACCCCAAACCAAACAAAATATAAACATACTCTCAAAAAAAGCTTCAAAATAATGTTTTATCCTAAGATATTAAATTGTTAATAGGCACCAAGTAATAATATTTTATGTTCAATTAAAAAAAAAACAGTTAAATGATTGAGTTTTATTATTTTAAGGGCTAAATGAGGACAGTATCAATAAAATAATAAAGGTACTGAATTAATATGTGTTACTTTCTGCTTTAGCAGAAAATAAAGAAATATATATTATAACTCTTATAATAAATAATATATAAATAATAATGCATTTACTATATAATAAATATATGTTTCTATGTTCTTGGATATTCACAATGATTAGCTACAAGAGTATTTATTGCAAAACTAAAATTAATAATGAAATAAAATAAATTTTAAGACATCAAATTTCTGGAAACTTAAGATTATCTGAAAAAATCAGAATTATTCTTATGTCACATTGTTATGCAATTGTGTTTTTCAGAACAGATAATTAATGGTTATGGGAACTATTCATAATACATACAATTTTGATGAACTAAAAGGCATTGATAAGCAGTGTTATGTTATTCTTATAGTGCATATGCTTATGATGTTAACTGATCATTTGTATTCTCAGTTATATCACATCAAATATCTTGTCTTGGATGTTATATAGTATTAATCTAAGATTCCTTATTCAAGTCTTTCTTAAACATACAAAATAATTCAATTTGTTTTAAAAACTGCATATATCATTGTTTTGTTTACCATTATTATCGGAACTCACTAACTCTCAAGTGTAGTTTAATTTCTATAAAGAGATTAGGCTCTCCATCTCATAATATATCATGCACCTGACTGATTATATACCCATTATTGACACTGCTTTTAATTACAGATAGAAAAACTTAATTCTGGAGGCTGACATGATCTCTCTTTAAACTAAATTCAGCAAATTAAATGTGTTGAAGAACCTTAGAAGAAGGGATATGAAATTCATATTTAGAGTTTATGATTTGTTTACTTATATCAGTCATTTTATTAAAATGCAAAATGAGTTGTCAATCTTTGTATTTTTTTCAATATTGCTATTATAAAGGTCACCATGAAAATGTTTTTGATTTTTTTTTTTATTGAGGGGGTTAATTTCTAAATGAATTCACTAACCACTGTACGAGAAATATTTTTATAATGTTTGGAAAGTTCATCATCTTTATATATCATTTATACACTTTCATTTATTAGGAAAGAATACTATGATTATTTTTAATTTTTTCATTGAGATAAATATCAGAAAACTATAATTAAGTTATGTATCAATAATGTTATCATTATTCTTTTAAATACCACTTATGATTTATAATGACATATTGATTTTATAGTTTAGGATAATCTGTTAAAATGAATTTTTCTTAAAAGTATGCAGTATAAAAATATAAAATAAGTTAAAGGAATCCAAAGCAAAGAGGAAATATTTAGATATATTTTGGGGGAGAGTACTGGGGATTGAACTCAGGGGCCCTCAACCACTGAAGACATATCCTTAGCCCTATATTGTATTTTATTTTAGAGACAGGTTCTCATTGAGTAGCTTAGTGCCTTGCCATTGATGAAGCTGGCTTTGAACTTGCAATCCCCCTGCCTCAGCTTCCCAAGCTGCTAGAATATATATTTTTAAAGGTATTGATTTTATCATTATTTTGCAGTGATAAAAGAAGAAAAACTTGCATTTCTACTTTTAAAAAACATGAAAAAAAATTTTAAAAGTGAAATACAATTTATTTAACATAAAATATATTGTAAGACAGTACTTCTTTTTTAAACTTTACACATGAGGATAAATATTTTTATAGTGAAAATAGCTTCATTTTTCCTGATGATATGACTATTTACTCAAAAATGTTTGAGACAAATACAAAAAATTTGGGATGTTAGGTAAACATTCTGGAGTGGCACCATTAGTACTTTAATGATCATACTGTCGCAAATCTTTTTATCTGTGTAAACATATACATACCCATATGAAATGTTACTTAATGTAATCTCACCATATATATTCATATTATACAATTATTAGAAATAAACATGGCCTTTCCGAACTTTTGTTGCTGTATTTTTCCATAATGGATATACCTACATACATTTTTTCATTATTTCCAAACATTTTGGAGGAGGATTGGCATAAGAATATTTAATTGCCTTTTATTTTCTCATGCAATGATATTTTTTAACATTTTTTCACTTCATGTATAAATTCAGTTTATTCTTTAACATAATTATGTAATGATTCATTTATTGGATATATCACAATATAGTCACCCTGACCTTAATTGTTGCCACTTCTTGTCCTCTTGAATTAATACTCTAATAAGCACCTTCTGTATACATCTCTTTAGGAAATTGACCCTTTTTTCCAATAGTATAACTCCTCAGGCACTGAGTTACTATATGTGATGATATAATAATTTTCAATTGATATTTTCTGATCATCTCTGAAGAAGATTTTGGCACTTTACATATCTACCAGTGATGTATGAAATTCATCCACATTTCAAACAAGTTTCATACTCAAAATTTTGATAAATATAAACTCATAATTCACTTTATTTAATTTGTCTCTTTTAGAAACATGATGTGTATCCATACATTTTGGCCATTTGAATTATAATTTTTTCACTATTTATTATTAAAGGTTTCCATTTTGATGAATTATTGCAGAAAGCATTTTTCTTTCTTTTATAGATATTAAAACTATTTCCATTTTTAATGAAAAACTATTTCCATATATAATTCTATATTTTGTCTATTATGTATTTTTCATATTCATTGGTAAACATTTTAAGAAAATATTTACATATTTACTTCCTAGTTATAATTTTATATTATTGAGAAGTAAGTAAGAACTACATTAATATAATAAATGTAGTTTTCCAGATTTCTATGTAAGATTTTTATTTCTTGGGTTTTGGCATCTTATTTTCTAGTTGACTGGAATTTGTTTTCTTTATATATTGTAACCCAAGTATTTAGTTTTATCCTCCTCCACCAAAGTAACGATAATTCTTTCTCTCCAATGTTCTATTCATTATGATTTTGAGATTATCGAGACATTAGATTAGAATGGCTCCATTATGACATGTGATTAATTGATCTTCACTGATAGTTATTAAGTTGTTTGGGAGCTAAAACCTTAAGAATAAATTTAAAATTATATTATCTAATTTTAAGAAAAAACTAGAAATTCACATGGAAACTGTACTAAATTTATAAAACAGTTGGAGAAATTGGCATTCTAACATTTATATTTACCATGCAAGAACTTGATACATGTTTATATATATTCAGATATTGTGTGATGTTTCTTAATATAATTTTTCATGTAAGTCAGATATAGTTTCTGTTAAGGTAATACCTATATATTTTAACTTTTGGTTGCTACTATAAATGAACTATACCCCTTCTCACTTTGCAAGATTTTTTTTGCCTTGAAGTAGTGAAAAGCCTTTGATTTTAAAACTATTTCTCTTGAAACCAAATGGTTTTATCACATTATTTATTTTATGGTTTCCATGATTCAGACACTTGCTTTTTTGAAATACAAAAAATGTTACCCTATATTTATAGAAAATAACTATTTATGAGTTTTAAATTTAATCAAATGACATTTTATAATTTATTAATACTGAATATGGAAAAAATTCTCCTTTTTAAATGAATTAAAAACAAAA